GCGGAGCTTCTTCTTAACTTCTTCTTCGAAGTTTAATTTATCCATCCATCAAGTTAGAGGGGTGACTGCACTCAATTTCGATTTTTTCCAATTCATTTTTCACCGGTAGGTTCACCCGCTCTTATCTATGGAATTTTAGGGTAGTTTCATCCAATGTAAAGTCATGACTATTTTTGAACCCTGTGTGCTTATGATTTACCTAGGCTTTCCTATTTTTTAACTTCCTTATGCCTACGGTCACTACAGTTTTCGAATTTAATATTTTCAGTATAAGGCAGTCAAAGCGGATCATAAAGATGATGTCATGCAAATACTGTCGAACTGTTGGCCCTAATTATAAAAGGAAGCTATTGAATTCCAAGAAGCTCACACATAGTCCATTACATTCAAAGGCACAAAGATTTCTCCACACAATGAATTTGAGCCCCCCGCGTATATCATATCTGGCACTATTAGGTCGGAAAACCGCTTAGTTAGGGAGTTATAAAGGCTCGAAGGTTGGCCCGTGTGTATGCTCGGACGAGTTTCACCGGCACTGTAGAGGCTGCACCGATCATAAGGGAACCCATTAAGGAAGTTCAAACAACTTGTCATGATCCATAGCGACAGTGAAAAACAGTTCTGCACAATTTGGCTCCATGTAGTCAGCTGTTCGCGCAATTGAAATAACTGAAATCTCGCTCGAATACGCGCTCCATGTTATTTCGTCACGGCTATCTCGTCCAACCTCTGCTTTCCCTACTTTTGAATAGCCTTATCTTTCATTGGCGACTTTTCTCGCTTTCTTTACTACCGATAAACTGTTCCCTATCTATACTTCCGCTTTTCGAATAAAAACGGGTACCTCAGATCTACCGTGAACTGTGCCTTCAAGTCAGCGTCTCGGAGCCAGTTCGAAGGATATGGTAAGTATCTCAAACCTGGTTGGGCGAAGGATATGACTGGTGATGTAGTATTTGTAGCTCACAGCACATCTTCTCAATTCAGAATCGAGCTTTATCCAGCTGCCTGACTGACCTGAAAAGATTTACTAACTGTAATAGGTGGTAGATGAAAGAAAACGCAGAAAAGCGATTGACGTTATATTATTTTATATTCGTGGACGAAATCGAACGGAAAACATGATTAAATACTTGAAATGCAAATCGAGGGAATATGATGTATGTGCTGTATTTGCCAGAAGAACAAGATCCGTATGTGATGACTTTACAATTTGGAAAGTTTCCTACATGCATGTATCAGCAGACATTTTCATAAAAATGATGCATTTCAACTACAAGTGTTGTTTGATTGAATTCTCAGGTACAACCCAACTGGTTGGCTCAGTCGTCCCGATGTAATTTCTCAATAATTTCTTCGAAACTCAAGTTCCCTTATGTGAAAACAAAGATTTTCCAATTTCATTGCAATACGTAGTTCCAATATCAATAAAATGTTAAACAGCACATTCAGTTCTCATTATTGTTCAACGTCCCAAGTTATATGAGGTTCATTTATTGAGAACTACCACCTAGGCGACCTTTCTTCACGCGGGTAAATCGTCTAAATCACCCACATTGGTAACCAAAGAGTACTAGCTACTAAACTTTGGGATCCGCTTACTTCAACGAAGTCACCCCTCAGTCAGCACGAGTTGAGTATTACTCCAGGGTCCTTTTAGGAACCAAGCGAGAAATAAAACATTCCGAGCCATCGAGAAACTGAAGGCTTGATCTGCTCCGTTACGTGGGGTTCACAGTCGGTGACTTCACTCAACTTTGTTACACATATTAAAAAATAGTTTAAGAGGTTGGGGTTTTGAATAGAGCCAAGTCATTTGCTGCCAAGCGCACGATCCAGTGGTCGATCTTGGAACGAATACCATTCAAGACAGCCACTGAAGCATAAGACTACATACTCAAGCCCCCACACATATGGTGTTTGATGTGTAGACTGATTGCTTGATTTTTTTTTGAGAAAGAGTTTTATGAAATCGTGAGAACTGGGTTAAGTCGATAGAGAGCTTGAGTGTAGATCAGTTGGTCCTACCATCAGAAACCATCATTCACTCCGGTGCTCTTCGGATCATAGGCAAAAACATAAGAGTAAGGCAATCCCGAGAATAAGGTAAATAAGGCGAGAATCTATGCGTTCGGATTTCTTAGAAAAAAAAATCGTTTTTTTTT